TTCTGGAGGCCAATCACTTACGTGGAACCGAACAATTATCAATTATGTTTATGTATTTCCATTTTATATCTTATTATTTTGATGCAGGCAGTGGAGCAGTTCTTTAGGTTTGATTGGTTTTCACCATTACCTTTGAAGTAGATTCTTCTTTACTTTTTACTTGAGGGCGACTCAAGAGGCAGGTGAGTAAACACGTGGTAGCCGGTCTGAGCATGGAAAAATCGTACCTCACCAACATGGTGTTGGGTAGCCCGCTCGCGGCACTTCCTCAGATATTCTTATTCCACAGTTTAACACTCTTACTCATGAAAGCACTCAGTAAACCGTCAGCTATAGTTGTAGAAGAAATCACATGCTACTAAATAAGATGACAAGCTAGTAAATGAAGAGACATCCATGGACTACCGTTGACAGCGTTAGTTGCCACTTATTGTAAGTCAAACATTGAGTGAGTTGATAACTTTCCCTTGGAATGAGAAATAAAACTAAGGTGTTTTTGATAGATAGGTTAATCGAACCGACGTTCCTACGGAAGTCGATTCTAGGGGGAAGCTAATGTAACAGCATAGGTTGGTTGGTTAAGAGTTGACCCCAAACAACCAAGCATATGCCAAAACAGTATTGTTCAAGTATTCATTCACTTCCTTATTTTGTATAAGCGTTATATTCCTTATTATCTTATATTGAATGCTGAAAGCCTTTGTTTGTCTGAACAGATAATCCCACGCTCCACTGTGACTGCGCTAAGATCGAAATAAACACGTACTCACAACTTCTCGTGTTTCTTCTATCAATAGTACGAGGGTTACCTATAGGCACGAAAAGGTAACAATGTACATTCAAATTTATGATGAATTTCAGAACCGTCATTTTATCCAATCACTTTTTTTGTTTCAACCGGGCAAGAGTGCGTATCTAACCCACCTAGACAGTTATTCTTGGGTCCAAACCTTAGTTTGGATCATACAAGCTCTACTATAGCAATGTGATTGATTTAGTCAAATATGAAGAACTTTAAAGGGACGAGAATTTTCTATACCTAATCTACATCAGACCAGACCACATGACGATGAGAGTGCAGCTCCAATACGCCTCACAGTCACGACAGCGGTGGAGCCTGAGAGTAAATAATCACTGGCAGGTAGTGAGGAAAGTATCCAGAATGCGATCCGACATAATGTTCTTCAGGATAAGCTAACACTTGGAAGGTAAAGATCCTGAGTTGAGAGAGTCACGGAACACTTATACAAGTCAAGCGAAGTGTCCGGTGCACGTGATGAGCTCCCCTTATGGATTCGGATCGCGGCTTACACTTGACACAGAAAAACAGCTGCTATTCCAAAGTTCACGGCTATATGAGATATTTTAAGGCCGAGATAGCAGTCAAAATGCAAGCTCATCTCAAATATCTCTATGGATTCATAGTGATGAGGAAATCTGTGTTCTTGGATGATCAAACAGCAAAGATCTCACTAGCTTTAAGATGGCAGAGATTTTTTATACCAGCTTCATTGAACAAGCACATAAGGAGCCTGAAGGAATGATACAACTCTCAGGTCTAGTGCCAGTTGAAAGTCTGCGAGATATCCAACATAATAACGAAGCGGTACCGAGGAGACCAGAGTCTGTGTGTTGAGATACTCAGAAAAATATCCCAAAAATTATTCTGTTGAGTCTTATTGGTCAATTATTTGTTTCACGTGTCATTTTCCTACTGGTCAATACTTATTTCACGTGTCAAATCTTATTTTCTATATTATGGTACAATGTGGTCTGTTTAATTGGTATATGAACAGAGTATGTTTGAAACATAATGATTCATATCTCAGAGGCTGAGACTTGCGTTCTGGACTCAACTGGCTGGGCTAGACATGGAAACAGGACCAATTAGAACTCTAGACCGTTTTTACGTGTTTACGCGTCTTTGGTCTGATTGATAATTTGCTGCCGGCTAATCTGCAGTCACAAGTATAACGATTAGCGAAGGGGTGAAAAAATACAATCAAAAGTCAGTCTGTAATTGGACGAAATTCAGTCTAATCATTTCGAGCAATCAGCATCCAGATTTGTCATCAGTCATACAGTTAAGTTTCATTACCGTCGCTGATTAAAAAAAGACTCTCCCTTCCGATCGATTACAGCTGCTATTTGAACGACATTTGGAGTTAATAATCAAATTCCGCACGCAGCTGCTGAATCACCCATGCTTTGGAGATGCGACGGAAGTGGATGGATTGATTTCTGAATTGCATATAGCTGTAAAATTATTGCAGCCTCCATAAATCCACGACAAACCGTATTTCAAACAACACAGCAACTACTCAAGATCCGCCCAGTACTCTCCATTTCAGAAATATGCTCGGTAATTGATTCAAACTCAATTATCCCCGAAGCAGCATGTGTAGACAGTGACTCATCCAGCTCACAAACAGACGCCCTGTTAAGTGTCCATAGAATTGTCACAATAACCGCCCATGAAACAGAAAACCAATCAAGCGGTACACTGTATGCAGCTGCTCCAAATGGTCTTCATCATTCAGCAACAAAAGTTTCTGACGAATCTTGTTATCGAGATTCTTTTATCAGAAACTAAGTCAGATGCATTAAATGATGATAAAAAACCTAATACGACTTTGATAGATGCTGATTACATTAGTGATCTTTTATCTACAAATGAGGCTTCCGATGAAATTGATGACAATATCTCAGAAGATTCAAACTCTGAGACTTTTTCAGACTACTTTAGCGAAGTCTTCTCTACGTTTATTGTAACAAATACTTGTCCCACTCACACCGAGATACCAACCATCGAATCTGTATAGGTGACTGAGGAAACTGTCCTTCCGTTGATAACTAACCTCAAACCTGGTAAGATACCGGGCCCTGACGGGTTACATCCACGATTGCTGTCATCTCTGGCGGACATTATTTCAAAACCGCTTGCGACACTCTTCAACATGTCCCTTTCACTCGCTCAACTCCCTAGAGATTGGAAGGACGCTATAGTTAGTCCTATATTTAAGGACGGTCAGCGACAGATAGCATCTAACTACCGGCCTGTCAGTCTAACTAGCAAAGTCGTTAAGTTACTCGAAAAGATAATTCGGGTTTGGTTGCTAAGCCACATAGATTTACACAATCTGTTAGCTCCTGAGCAACACGGATTTCGTAACAAGCGTTCATGCTTGACTAACTTGCTTATTGCGAGGGAGGATTGGACAGCAGCCCTAGATAACGGTCTGTCTGTCGACGTGATATTCATAGATTTCAGCAAAGCGTTTGACAAGGTTTCACACGTAGGTTTTATGCAAAAGCTCACGAGCTTCGGAATAATAGGTACTGTACATGAGTGGATAGGAAATTTCTTATGTGACCGCAGACAGAGAGTTAGAGTCAACGGAACGCTATCCGATTGGAAGCCGGTCAAAAGTGGTGTACCCCAAGGCACCATCTTAGGCCCTCTGCTCTTCCTTCTCTACGTTAATGATTTACCGCTTTTACTTAGGTCGTCGACATTATTGTTTGCGGATGATGTAAAAATCTGGAGAACAATAAAAAGTGCGGCTGATCATGTGGATCTTCAAGCTGACTTAGACGATTTAGTTAGATGGGCTCGAGAGTGGGGCTTAGAAATCAATGCTAGGAAGAGTGTACTAATGCACATCGGTCACGGTAATAGTTACCGTTACACTATTGAGGGTAAACCTCTTCCATGCGTTCAAGAGCATAAAAACTTAGGAGTAATATTAAGTCATGATTTAAAAACAACTAAGCATTGCAAAGCAGCCGCTGTCGAAGGTTTTCGTGCGTTATGGTCACTTCGCCGAGCGTTCAAATCTTTTGACGGGGAAATGTTTAGAATTTTATATCCCATATATGTTAGACCACATTTAGAGTACTGTATCCAAGCAGCTAGCCCGTGTCTGGTAAAGGATACTAACGCCTTTGAGCGTGTCCAGCGTGTGGGAACGAAATTAATGAAGGGTCTGTAGCGGTAAATAAATCCCCAACATAAATAGCTCTGTAGGTATATGAGGACCCAACATTATTTCGCGTGGGAGGATGAACTCGGAAAATTCAAAATCCAGATATCAACTCCGGATCTTCAAAAAAGGGAGGTGTTGGTATATTTAGATAAATATCCCAAAAAACTATTCGGTTCTGCAATAGGAAGTAGACAGTGGTTTAGCAATTAACCTATGGAAATGTCACGTCATTATTGTTATGACACGTTTGGCACAGATTGTTGGAAATGTATTGCGTTAATACATCACATAGTTCTGATAATCTTCGTCTTCTAATTACATTATCGAAATTCACTAGCTTATGTAAGAACAATTGTGCGTGACCACATCAGGGCTTTCCTAATACTACGTAAAAAGTGAAAAAGTCACCACCTTAAAGTTTACAGTGTCATGGCATCCTCTTTCTACAAAAGAGACGCAAATATCTAGGACCAAGTGAAGAGACGTAGAACCAAGCGGGTGACAGGCTTAAAACATGAATCTTACGACAAACCGCAACACTAGGATTTTTCTCGTTGAGCTAAATATCGTTAATAAATCCTCATCTCGATTACTATTGCCCTTGTTGTTCTACTTACTCTCCTAACTCCGTCTCCTTATAAATTACCAATTAAGCAAATTATTTGTTTGTTCTTGAAACAGTAATATCTGAGCAACTGAATTATCACTCTACTATATTCACATTGCTTTAAGTCAGCCTCTTGAATGGTAATTTGTTATCTTCTAGTATCCAGAAACCCTTTTACTTTGGAACAAACACACACATAAACTACAAGACATATAAATAAAGAATAACTACCAAACGGACTTGAAACAGACCACTAAATTGATTAGACTGCTATTCATCAGTCCTCAACAAATATCGATAAACATATCAAAATAGGAAGAATCCAGCTCAAAAATTTCAATCGGTTTATACAAGCTTGTGATGAAATGTTGAAGATATTGAAAACTGAATTGATGCACTGACTCAGTGCGTCAGTTTGATTTGCTGGGTTACGTATTCCAAACTAGGCAATGGAAATGACGGATGATCCTTTGGTTCTAGTTTTTAAAGCCTTGGACACAGAAAATAAGGGATATATTACTGTGGAGCAATTCGTATCAACTTTTAGAGAATTTTATAATTCAAGTGGAGCTGATGGAGAAAGGCGATCATCACTTTCTTCGAACGTAATTTCGTTTTTTACTTATTAATACGTGTACAGGATATCATGAAAGTAGTACAGACTTTAGATCCAGAAAATGATGGAATTATACATTATGAAGATTTTAAGAAGGCTTTTGAGGGAAACATAAACTGTAAGGTGTCTTTCATCTCAATAATATGCAATTAGTTGATGAAGACAGTACATCAAAGCATTCGAATTCTCTATCTAGGAATTCAGATGGGCAAAATGCATCTGTAAGGTCGAGCTTCCTTTCAGACGGTTTGGAGAACAAGGTACGTCTTGTCTTCATATTGTTGTCTGTTGTATGCTGTACGTGTAGTCTGTGACTCTATTGAATACGTTGTGTGTGTTATTAGTGAATCTGCCCATTACTCATTGATCATAAACTTCTCAGACAGTTGTTTGATCTACTTGTGTCTTTATTATCCCCATTCTCGTACATGTTAAGGACATAAAAATCATATGAGCGTAATACAAATACACCTTATTTATACTTTAGTTAACTATTAGTTTTCTTAACTATAAAGAGAAAGCATATTAATGGCGACACCCATAGGCCAAAAGGCTACATTTCAGGAGTAAAGAAAGTGATTAAGTAGTCCAGAGTTACGAAATAATACCGGAAAGTAGTAATTGAGTATATCTATACCACTGCAACTGATTCTATATCGTATTACTCAAGGTCTTCAGATTCGATTAAAGATTATGTCTTAAACCATAAAGTATATAAATCAAGGCACATAACATTCCGATATTCTATAGCTTCATGCACTGATGACATGTCTTTGCTTGGTCTCCCTTAAAGCTTTTTCAACCGGCTCCTATGTTAGTCAACGCTTCTCAATGAGTGTTGAACCTCTGTGTTCAACACGTCTCCCAACCATGTTACCTAATGCAGATTTAGAAATTTACCAATTTGAGACTTACCTAGTACTGTACGCGTAACTTGATTACTCATTCGTCCCTTTATATTCATGAAATATCGTTATGGAAACTAATTTAATGCTCACTGGCTATGCATTTCTGTTTATAAGGAACACTTTGTCTAACTGTAAATAACAGAGATTTACTATTCGAACAGTGGTTCTGTTTGATGATTCCGCTGCCGGTGATGAAATCTTGAGATTTCGCAGATATCATAATCTTTACTATGATAACACGAAATGAAGGTTGTGCATTGAACTTCAAACTAAAAGATATCAGCTTCGAAAATTGTTGTTTATGACAAGGTAACCGAACCCGTATTGTTGTTAGAAAAATATAAAAAACATGCCCTTTTGTTGAAGTTTAATTCGCTTGGCTTTGTTTAATATGATATATAGAAGCGTGTTTTATATTTAGCGTCGGGTTTAAAATGTAGTGTTGCAAACTCTGATTATCTCCACAATGATATATATATATATATATATATATATATATATATATATATATATATATATATATATATATATATATATATATATATATATATATATGTTCATCCTTATTTAATGGGATATTAATTTTGGAAGGATGGGATTTTCGGATAGCTTGTGGGAATTCACTGTTATTAGGTTGAACTTAAGTTTCCCCAAGGACTCAGTCATACTCAAGACATAACCCCGCATTTGTTCATCGGTCCATCTTGCTATATTTTGCAGCTAAACAAAAACATGTTTATCTGAACAGGAACAAATGACTTTAGTCACTTCAGATGATACAAGTTCACAATCACATTTTAAAAATCACTTGTGATTGAAATTGATTTCGTTGTTGTTTATTACACTATGTGATTGACTTTAGTTTTAGACAGTTACTAGTTGTAGATGTATATTTTTGAATTTCAGACTGATGATAGTGGTGTGCATATGCACGATCCAACTTTATTTGATATCGACACTGACTCTGCCTTAAGCGCCGATGGACCAAACAAGTAGGCTAATGTGTTTGTCTCTCGTGTTGTTTTTTCCATGGTTCTTTTATGTTTAATATCCGGCTTTAGTAAAAATGTGTTTTGGTTGATGTTATTGTGCAAATAAGTCATACATTACGATAAGAATATCTTTTTCATACCATTACCTAATTTAAGGAAGTAATTATTTAATTAATTGATCGGTGTTTGGTTCACTGAAGGAATATTGGAGTCCTAAAGAGATGGGTTAGATTTTATCTCTCACAGATAAGTTTGGGTAATAAAAATAAAATTAGTAACAACAAGTAATAAAAAAACCACGATTTAGGAAAATAATTATGAAATGAGTAGATCCATCAACGCTATCTTATCCTGTTCTGCTCCATATAGTCTGATCAATAATCAATATGTTCTTCACTGTCTACCATTATGAGTGTGTAGTGTTTCATAGGTTGGTGGTGTCGAATTGATCACAGCCAATTCACCATTGTACCGATACTCATTATTACGTGATACATGAAGTACTCATTAGATGAAGAGTGCAAACTGAAATATCTTTGAGTTTGATATGTATTATTAGAACCGTAACTGCGAGTTTATTCACTATATGTAACGCAAAAAGCAACTTGCAGCATCCGGCTTTACCGACTTGCATTTTCTTATTTATTAAAAGGTCTAAAAAGCAACTTTATAACTTGAGATATCAACACCTTTTGTATCGTAATCTGGTAATTTCTATAATGATAAATATAGCTCATCTAATCGTTGTTTACTCACACCATATCTTGTGTGAAACCTATATTCGTTTGGGTATCAAGGAATGAGTATACTGTCAAATAGATCATCTTGATTTACTTTACTGAAGTCAAAACCAATTTTTGCGGATACAGGAAGTGTGGATTTGACAAGCGATTGTCATAATCGAGTGAATACTCTTGGAAAATAGCATGTTCAGCCTGTACAATCGTGCCCAAAATACTCAAGCGAATAACAGATTTTGAGACAATATATTGTAACTTCATGAATCGTACTAAATCATATATACATTACAGCTTAATTGAAATGTATTTATTTATTTGTTTCTAACTTAACTATAGTTTCTCATCCAGGTAGTTTACTTTATATCACTGTTAAGTATAATGATAGTTTTGTTCACTAAGTATTATACTCGTACCTTAGTTTAACCCTAAATTTGAAATTCACTATTCTTATGAATAGACCTCATATTTGACTTTTTTCCCGTTTTTCTTTGAAAACAAAATGAACCAAATAATTCTAACACTGTTTGCTGTATTGCCCTTCGACAACTCACAATCTAATCACTGTTATTACCATTATTATCATCATTATTACTTATGCTTATCTAACCCGATTCATATTTGTCAATGCCGCTGGGTGATTTCATCATTGTATCAATAATAATGATGATTATTCGCCTACTTATGTTATTGCTATTATTACCATTATTACCACTATTTTGGCTGCATTGTTGATGATTGCACCTGGTTCGAAAACTTGAAATTGCTTTACATAAGTTGTACCCGTTTGCAACGGGGTGAGATTAGAAGCAGTTGGCCAAAGCATAGGTAAGTTCCTACTTTTTTCTCTTTTGTAGTTTGTTACTCATTGATTCTCTTCATTCTTGAAAAACAAAATGAGGACACGTCAAAGTAAAATCCCATTAGGGCAGTCAGCTAGTATCAATAGCTCTCACAAATAAAGTAGGACTTAAAGCCGCGTACAAAAATTTAGCACCTAGTAAAGTGAGTTAAATTAGAGTTAACGGGGTAATCTAATCAAATTTCTATTCGACTATCTAGCAATTCAAACCAATTAGTCCCTTTTATAAATTTCTATAGAACAATGGGGAGACGGATTTAATCTGGAAAATGTGATATATTTGCTCTATACATTTCGAAAAAAAAATATATGTGTGATCAAATTGTTTGAAATATGTAGCGCAAATACATCACATTTTTCAGATCAACTCCGTCCTATTGTTTTATCTATACTTAACAATTTGTATGTAATCTAACTTTTTCTAAACATAGAAATATAACTTTGCTTCATGTGTTTTGCTGTTTTATCAAATATATTATCATTTGTAAATTGATGATTGGGTCTGTAGAGGATTTAACATTTCACAGAAAGTAAACCTGTGAATATGTATAAAATTTAATGAAGCAAACAATTATTCAGACTAAACTAAACGTGTTGATTGATCTAGTAGTCAAGTAGCAGATTAGTGCAAAAGTCTATTTATTCTGTTTTAGGGGTGATGAATAGATATTCAAACTTTCTTTGATAGTTGGCCCTTCGCTTCTCTTCACAGAAACAAATTTTAGATGATTTCTGAAAGTTGTACAAAATAAATTCTTATTTTTTTACGAATTCCAAATAAAACAAACTCAATCTTTTTTGAAATTTATCTACTAATGCACTGTCAATTTTTTCGAATAATCTGTGTCAGATTTTCTTTTTGTTCACTCACTTCATTTGAACCAACATCATTTCAACTGTATTCATTATTTGTTAGGTACAGTTTGGGCTATCTGTAAGTGTTGTGCACTGTGGGAAAAAAGGGAGTTTTAATCTCTTTGTATATATATATATATATATATATATATATATATATATATATATATATCTGTCTACCACTAGCTACTTTCTCTCTCTTTCGTTTTACAACTTGATTTACTGTGGCATGTATTCATTCATTAATCAACTTACTGTTCACCTATTTGGCGATAAGTTTAATTCTTCAGTCATTATTTTGTTATACAATAGGATATAGTTTAATTTATTTGTGTTGTAGTTTGTATAGAGTTGAGTTCGAGAGTAACGACGATTGGTGGGGGATAAGGGGTGAGCTGCCTTCTAATAAGAGAGGGGAGCTAACTCGATTGGATATAGATCGAACGACCAATGAACAGCAACGTCTGTCAACTGTACTCAAGTAAAAAGAGAAAAGATTAGACTTCGTAAAAAAAACTTTTATGTTTCAAGTACAAATTATGAAATGAACAAACATTACAGTATATCTAGTATTCCGCAAGATAAAGAAACCAATAGGAATTAGTGTCAGCTAGGTGGCATTATGACGCTAAAATAATATTTTGTGAAAGGTTACAATAGTGTTTGTTGCTGTGACAACCTCAACAAGTCATAATGTTGATATGTAGATCAACTCCAACAGTTTGTCAGCCAGAAGCATGTTTTTATTCAAACTATCAAGAAATATTCTGCTGGATCAAATTGGTCGGTCTGTTCCGAATCGGGTAGATGTATTAAGAACTGTATAATTATTTGACTTTAGATTGTGTTAAGTTACAATTTCGAACTTCGCTGTAATTACTTCGGTTCAATCAGGTTAGCAGTTGTTTAGTTCAGAGCTTAATACACTTACCTCTGCTGGCCTAATGAATTTCTTAAAACGTGAATCCGTGTACATGAATTCTCTTTTTACGATTACTTAGATTTACTGTAATGACTATGCAACTTAAGAAGATTGTGCTATAATGTAGATTACAATTATTTGAATAAGTTTTCTATGAATAGATGTTACAAAGTCCTTCCTCTACTATATTGTTTTGTAGATATTGATAGTTTCTAAGTATTTACTTATTTTAATGACAGAATTCGCCACAAAATAACCTCAGTTAAGCAACCACTGGGAGGTTAAACACAAAAAAGTCGAAGTTTATATTTCATTTTGTGTGCTATTTTGTTTACTTTCAGTTTTATTCAAGATTTTTTTTAAACATTATTTTCGTTCATTTGTCAAGTGTTCACTTTCTACATCGATTTTCCTAATCAATCTTATTCTCACTAAGTAGTTGGGGATTTTTCGACGATAGCTAATTCACAGATTGATTAGTCAATCAGTCTCATTTATCGCACAACGTTACTTGTCCTTTAACGTGTTTCCAGTATTTGAGTATGTATGTAGTGTATCGCAGTGTGTAGTAGTAGTAGTGGCGCGGTTCCATAACATAATATATATAGGATTTCCAGTCTCACATTGTCTCATGCATATAACGTTTTTTTCTGGTCGGTAAACTACGCATGTTTGTCCTTGTCATCGTCATTGCTGTTGTTGTTGTTGTCGTCAAGTTCTCCAAAAGTATTTCTACAATGTTTTTTGGTATGTTTAATAATTATTTTTTAAAGAAATAATTAAACTGCGTATGCTGATGAATAAATAAACGAATATATATATATATATATATATATATATATATATATATATACCATATACTATGTACTATATTTTCTCATCTCTTTTTCACGGGATGTTGGTAGGTTGGTGTCCATGTGATTATCGGAACCAATGGTTTGAAACATCGACCAGCATGACATAGAATCAGTCCTAATAGCAGAGATGTCGCACCTCTGATTTTGAGATCTAAAGTTACCTTTTATATTTTTATCCTGCGAATTCGTTCATTCCTCTCGGGTCAGATTATCTATGGCTAGTAGTGTCGCTATTTAAACTATCCTGACATTTGTTTAGATAAGTTAATCTCACTGTTCCGATAATGTGGTGTGATGACTTGAACTGTTGCACGTATTTACCAGGATCTATGTTGATTGGTTGACCAATTGATACCTTAAGATTGTAGGATCATATAGTAGCGATGACCTTGAATGGTTGTCAACCGATTAGAAAACAGCTTTATTATAAAATGATTTATAACAAAAGTTAATAAAACGAAGGTGGGTGAACAGTCATAATTTGATGAAAAAGCGAATTAGGAGTCTGAGTAGAAGCAGGATTTAAAGCTGGGAGCTAGGGTTAGTAGTTATGTGACTGGGAGTTAAGGTTAAGTTTATGACGGTTTGAAGTTACGGTCAGGGTTAGAGGCGGTTAAGGTTGAGATATGGCTTCAAAGTGAGCGAATAGTTTTAAGTCACAAAAATACCCTTGGCTATTACATGAATCACACAAAGTATGCTCACATACAATCTGGAGTTAGTCTAGGTATTTCCTCTGATTTAGCCTCTGTGAAGTGTCACATCTATATGATTGTAGGAAAGATATTTTGAGCAACTTTAAGCATTTTAGGAATTAATTTTAGAAAGCGTTCCATAGGATACATACTATCCTTCACTGCATTTTGAATTTTGGACAGAAGACAAAAGGGGCTATGTTAAGGTGGTCGCTATAATATAGTCCTGCTCCTAGAGACTTTCTTCCCTAAAGATAGTGCTTGAAGCATAAGGGTTTACCTTTTTGTCCTAATTTTTTCTTGTTCCACATCTCGTGGATGATGCTGAATTTCTACATAAAATTAAATGGAAACAGTTCTCTTCAGTTTGAGTCTGTTCTTTTCTGATTGTACTATATTGTTAAGGACAAATCTTCGGTTTAATTCAAGAATTGGTCCTAGACATCTGTAATTAACTAGGAAGAACTAGGCCCCTGTTTCATCCCATTGTCTGACTCCTTAGAAGTGCACATCCACGAATCTATCACGGGAATCAGACCTAGGACCTTGTTTCACTCTAGAACACAACTTTTAGACTAAAATCGGCTCGTGGAAATTCTACAATCTCCATAATCACTTCCTATATTGATAATAAGCACAAATGTTTTGTTATCTAATATAAATAGATGGTAATTTAATTTTCCCTGTTTACATTTTCATAAATCGCACTGTTTGAAAAACAAATTCTGGTTGTTTTGCTTTATTGCATTGCATGAAAATTATTTGGTGTTAGACCACTTAGTGCCACTGTTCTAGATTTTTCTTTAAAAGTATAGAGTTGCTTTTTTTGATTCATAGGTTTTATGTGGTGATAATTTGTTACGAAAATGTACTTTCTAGTTATTATATATTTATTTTATAGTAACTCATTCATCCAATATGTACAGGTTTACGTATTCGACTAAGTCACGTTATTTGAACGAAGCTTAATGACACTATATCGTAGTAGACCAAGTGGGATTCGAGCCTACAGCTTGTTAGTTGATCGAACGAGTGTCGGAAATAAAAGATGTACATATGTTACTGATATCCTTGACGAGTATTTGTGTGTGATAAAATCATTGAATGCATGATATTCTTATTGTGTATTGAGCAGTAGCTAGATAAAAATGATGAATTACCTAGCAAAGTTGTTGATTTTTACCAGCAGCTATCATTCATACGCATCTACCACCGACCTCAATGTACTGCGGTGGTCAAGTTATGATCATATGGTTTCTGGTGTTAGTTTACATGGGTCAAAATATTCATTGACTGTTAGATAGACGTATTCAGATTTTTAAATTTTCCTCTGATTCTGTAACATTGGATCCTATTGTACACTTTTTCTGTATTTTCCGTTCTAACTCTTTACCGTTATTAGTGTCATTATCATTCATTCCCTTGATTTTATTGTAACTTAGTCTCTTCTAACTGTTTTGACATGATATGTGGCGATTCGCACTGACCTACATTCTTCTGTTATTTTTTACATTGTCCTATTTTGTTGTTTATTACAGTTGACACGAAGGAATATAGAAAACAGCTTCAGAAAAACGTGTCATACCGGTTCACCGTCGTCTCATCTTTCCACCATAATTGATATATAGTGATTATGATGTCAAAATCTGTGATACCAACTATTTTCAACTTCTAATCTTTCAACCAGATATAAGTGGTTATCTTCAAATCGTTATGCTCGATTATCTCTTTCTCTTAGTAATTTTTAGGGGTTGTAAGTGTTCTCTGTTTTAGACCTGTTTAAGTTTTTAAAGTCAGCCAGCGTAAAGTAACTATGATTGAATATTGCATAAAATTTTGGGAAAAAATGTAGAATTGCAATATTTCAGTTTTGCAGGAGGTCAGTCGCTGCCATAACAGCTCAGTATTATTGTCTCAGGCTGTGAGGCTGGGTAATACGGGATTTAATTGACCAGAACGCATCAGTTCCTCCAAGATTACTGTACACCTTGTTGGCGAGTATTAAATAGCATGAAAACTGGATCGTAGGTTTTTTGTCGTCTACCACGAACCATCTAACATCTAAACATAGTGCACGTAGTATCGAGTTACTTGAACTAGTGGCCATATTGTAACTTGATCACTTCTCAGTGACTGATCACCTGTAGAGCTGAATGAATTTATTAATTTCGGGGCTGGCGGCATTGTGGGTAAGATATAGTTGTGAAACAAATGTATTTCATTGTTTATCAAGCGTGAAAAGCATTACTTTTGCTTGCTGAATGGCTCTCAAGTGAAGACTTCCATTCACAGCGTTCGGTTGCAAATTCGAATCCCACTTCATCTACCATCTCAGTTTTACCAATCAGATAATATCATCAGTCTACACATTTTCAACAATATACAAAAAAGACATTTTCCAAGGTCTTCAAATAAACAAATTTGGGCCTGGCAACTAAGGTTTACATCATTATGCTGAATCAGTCGATAAGGAAATTTCGTGAAATTGTTTGTTTTCAGACTGTGTACGTATCATTTATTTATTCACAAGGTCTTACGAATTTACTGACATTCATATTTCTAAGTAGATAGTCATTTCATGAGTGTGCGATTAAAGGAGAGAAAATGTAGACGTGCTTGTTGTTAATTAACGTATATTCTGAGATATAATGAGACTATTTACATGCTTACAAATTACCTTTTTCTCTATCTCTTCAATCTCTTATATTCTGTTAATATAATGTTACATAGGTATCATGTTTCCATTGTATCATTGTAATCTCACATAAATACATAATATATATTGCTTTGAATACATGCGAATATGATATGAGAGTATGAGAATATGATATGTATATGTATGCATGGTATACTGATGATCACCTGTTCTATTACTGTTACTATTATCATTATTTTTATTATTATTGTCGGTTATTACATACCAACATAAATGCTAAGTTAAACTGAATTTTATATTTATTAGCATAGGGGGTTTGTGGAAGTTGTTGAATAGAGTTTTCATAGTTTGCATCACGGGCTGATCTTAATTAGTTTATGATGTAAACTATAAAAATTCAGCAATCTCTACAAACCCCTGATACTGATAGTAATCATGCGCTCACTAGTGGATAACTTCGAAATGACATTCCAGGATTTCCGGTGAAAAACTCTGACCAGTACAGTCCGGCTATGTCGGATGTGAGATAGTTACCCACTGCAGGTAATGAGATATGGTCGCTCAGTATCTCGAGTTGGTTGAAGTTAGACATAGCCACCATATGATATTGGTTCAGTGGTCTAGAGGTTAGGCATTTGTGAGCAAGACAGGGTCTTGGGTTTGATCTTATGTAAGGTTATGGATGTTCCGTATTGAGGAGTCCCATATTAGGATTGATTTATAGTTTTCAGTGGTTATCTAACCAAAGTCAGTGCATAATGTGGAACAGTTAGTTATGATAAATCAAAACCAACAACTAATGAAACAAAAAGCATAATAATGGTGCAATATATATGTTATTTGTTTTACACGGACATGTATGGAGGAATTCAACTTTTTCTTCCAATATCTTAAACCTAGTCATTGTTTGTTTAAGATATTTCTACCATTTGTCATTTATTCAACCATTCATCAGCCTACGACTACTCACCAAATATGTGTTGATTCAAGTTGCTACATGTCAGATTAGCACATCAACATGAGGCAAGGAATGGGAAACGCATATCAATTGTAATCAAAGTTTCAGCATGAAAAAAAGATTTTTGTTAAAGGAATCACTGAGACCGAGGAATGTAAAGTTAAGAGGAGCGTTACATAATTGAAGATTTGGTGAAAGTTAGTGAATCAATATAACTAGTTGAGCCACTGTAACGTTGATTTTAGTCCCATGTTTGGTACCCAATGTTTCTAACCATTAGTTTCGAAGAGTCCTCCGCAAGGATGACTACAATTATTTTCCGGAGAAACCTTTTATTCAATTAGGTTTTTTTAAAATTATTAGTAAATAGCTAATTTCCCTCTACTTCACACTTTAACAAATTATCTCGTTATCCACCGTTTTGTCCTTCACTATTCTGCACTTTGAATGGCATCTTATGATTTAAATAATGACTAGATTCAATAAAGTGTTCCTATCACTTAGGCTTAGACCTTGTAAAAGTACATGAATTCTCTGGCTAACAAGACCTAGTGGTCTCATATACTTGTCAAACCTATCGCAAAAATGTTCCTAGTTGGATAGCGGTGTTCACGTTTACTTTTTTTGTTATTTTAAGAGTAAAATAGGAGTTTATTGCCATCATTATGATTTGTAGTCCTCTCAGGATTGTTTGTCTATCTTTGTTTTATCGATGCTGTTTTTATTAAAGGGTGTGGCAACACACTAGCCTGATGCTACATTGTTCTTATATATATATATATATATATATATATATATGTCTCTTTTATTTATCTCATGAATCAGTTCTTTTTGTTTTACTCAATATGAGAGTAAATTTATTTGTGGAATATTATTATTATTAATCACTATTGGAAATAATACGAGTCAAATAATTGAACGTTGATCGATGGTATTTTTTATGTTCAACTTGTTCTACGTAAAGAAATTATTCTATTAACGAGTGGCGCGATTTATTCTATATGTTCTGAAATCATCAATGATGATTTTTTTCCGTTATAATATGTTGACCATGAACATGGTATATTATCTATACTATACTTGTATGTTTGTTTATTCTTTAGTGTGCTACTTTTAAAATTATCTATTACTTTTTATTCCATGAGTTAGTTCTTTCTTTTTGAGTTATTTTGTCCATGTTTAGGCATTTTTATTATCATTGATACTGTTACTACTACTATTTTGATATTTGTCTTCATAATTTCATCTTGTCGTGGACATATAGTGTGACAGCTTGACTCGATGATGCACACGTATGCCAAGAATTTTGACAATGTTCAGGGGAAAATAATAAGTGTAGGCGCGTACTTATATCCCAGTGTTGATGCTCACGTTCGGACCCGTACCCGGTGCCTCTGTTGTCTCAATCACCAACGATTTATTTACTTAGCTTCTAAGTTCAAATAGCTCTTAACGTGTTCACCCGGTATAGTGTTTATTCGTAATCCTTTGTATTACCTTACTGTTGTTATTCAATACTGAAATTTAATCACTCCTTATTGGCATGATTTTGTTACTCTTTTTTTGTTCTGATTCATTCTTTATTTGCTCGCCATATTATCTCTATGTCGTCTGTTTTTAACTCATCAAATTTTCTCGAAATCACGTTCTCATCATTTATCAACACGCGATCTCTGGTACAAATGTGTATTGGTACAATTTACCACATCTGACGCCAAGATACCAAGTTACTAAATTATGTACATAATACACTGACTTCATCAAGTTGTACTTTTGAAGATATTGTCATTCGTGTTTGCTTAATTACAGTTTGCGTTGTCGTTCTTATCATTGTAACTCAAATAACTGATTGCTTTTTACCGTAGTAATTATAGCCTTTTTCATAAACATTCCTAGTTGTTTTTACTACTTCTCAGTTTTTCATCAATATTTATGTTATTGACCGCCCATTTATTTATTTTTCTTCAGTGCAAATCCCCTATCAAGTCTACATCACGGTCCAGATTCTCCAGCGAGCGCTTCACAATCGGATATATTACTCGGTGATATGGAGTCTAATTTTGAATTGATTCGAGTAAGTACTTTTGTTAGTAATTATGTGTTTATATTGAAATATAATACATTAGTCATAAGTAATGTAGAACCTGGCACATGTGTGAATGATCAGTTCAACTTCACATACCACATCAACACAGCGAGTAATTAAATTAATAGCAACGTCAGTGGTAGAAGAGAATATCAGGCATGAAAAATATAATTCAAGGAGGAATAATAAAAAGTATGAGATGATTTTAAGACTCGAAATCTTAGGGAATACAAAGAGTGAGTGCTTCTGTGTAGAATTCGCACAGATTCTGTTCCATATCATTCAACGTCTCAAACTATTGGTTAAAACGACTGCACAGACTGCAACTTGCTAGTTTGCACCTACCATCACGGCTCAGTCAAACAGTTGCTGGCTTCACGGTCAAATGTTATGTCTTGGCTTGATCGCTCCTAGTTTTCTTCCAACCTACCTCTACACCAAGATAACATCGTAGATCTATGTAGATGATGGTTGGGAGTGTGATACATGTTCCGACCACCCCAGTTGATGAAGGTTCACAGCATATAACCAACCAATTTTTTACCTAGTACACTTTGTCTAACCTCAGCATTGTTCAATTGGTGGTTCCAATACACTCAAGTGAAGTATTGCGTAACACTTAACTGTAATTAACTTTGTTCATTTATTTTCTGCTTACCATTTATATATTTCACCATTTCTCACTTTCACAAATGGTTCCATGTCACTTGAATTCATGTTCTCTCTACATCTAAATTTTTTTTTCACAATTTCACTTTTGAATTAAAGGATCAAATGCGCCGAATGGAAGAACGTGTAGAAGGTCTAAAAATCAACAGAAATACTGAAAGTGAAACGCGCTTAGATCGTTTACGTGAAGAGAATGCTCGTTTAACTGCACAAATCACTGTTTTAGAAGAACGTCTTAAAGAGGCCGATGCACGGTCGAGCCGTGCATTAGAAGCTGAACGACAACATATGCAATCAATTTTGGTTAGTCGATATTGGTTTCTTCTTTATCTCCTTAGTAAAACAGATACCTCAACATGATTATAAAATAGTATATTAGTAATATTTATTATTTTTTCTCAAGAAATCACACACTAAATGGTAAAATGTTAACAATTCATCTTTTTAAAAGAAACTTTTATTCTATATTCAGTCAGTCATTTAAAACGTAGGACCAGGCACATATATGCATCAGTCCAAGTTGCAACACCTCATTAGCACAACAAGAATAGCACGAATAGTAGTGATATATAAAAGAAAGATTGTGTATAAGGATATAATACAGGAAGGGAGAATTAGTTCGTAGAAAGAAAGGCATAGAGTAATTTTTATCTCATGGTTTAAGGGAAGATAAAGAATGTATATACCCACGCAATTATAATCGATTCTGAGCCATGTCACCCAGAGTCTTCAACCATTGATTACGATAGTCACGCGGACCCTAACTAAGTAGTCTACATCTTCCAACATGGCTCAGACTGGAAGTTAGTGACTTCATAGACTGATGCCACGTTTTGGTTTGGCAGCCTCTAGCTTTCTTCCAACCGTGTCCAACACTAGTCAGTATTGCGCATCGTGGTAATCGGTATTCAGGCATACGTAACACGTGGCCCAACTATCTCAATCGATGAAGATATACAACCTCATCAACTGATTTACCGTTATTTCCTAATACCCTGCGTCTAACCTCTCTATTACTTACCCGGTGAACTCAACAGATTCTGGCAATATTTCTAAGACATCTGTGATTAAATACTAGTAATATACAGGTATTCTCTACCCTTAATAACCATGTTTTACAGCCGTAATGTAAAGCAGAACGAACTGCTGCTCGGCATACTCGTCCTTCGATTGATAGACAGATATATCACCTTCGCCATGGGTAACATAATTTGGCAAAAGCTAAACGACCTTTTCGAATTCGTACAAAGATTTCGTCATACATATTCCATGATCATAAACAACCCATCAATCTGATCCTTTTTTCTATTTTAAATTATCCAATCAAACCTTGTATTATGATACTTACAAGCTACATAGTTAAACGTTTTATTCCTATACCTTTTTACCAAGAAGTTTAATTGACTACATACATTATCTAATTACTATTTCTAATCGTGACTTCCATTTGACAATCAATACAGGAGCTTTGGTTACCGATTGTTTCACTTTAATATGTCGGATTCTTTCTCAATCGTTTGCATATTTCCTTGCAATGATTCAGTTTATAGATCAATTACACCTTATTTTGTGAATGGATTGCCTTTAGGTTACTACTGAGCAACGATGGTGGGTCAGTGGTTAAAAGGCGTTCAACTTTTAGCTATAAAGTTGCAAGTTGGAACCCCCTCTATTTTAGTTACTTTGGCTAAGACAGTCAGACAGTATCATTAGTCTTCATATATAAAGTCGTATTCGAAGCCAAGTACACGAATGAGTACCTTGTAAATGAGTGAATAAATAAGACATTCATACTTATTGTCCTACATTCAAATGTAGCAATGTTTGATATTAATATAGTGGCTAATTATGAAAATAGTAAGGATTATTCGTGTGTATAAGATCATTTTTCCTACTTTTGGGAATATTTCCACCAATAGTGTACTCCTCAACATTAAGTGTTTATGTCATGCAATTGGTATGTATGTAGTTGTATATATGTATATGGTATGTATGTATGCATGTGTGTTTGTAGGAGCTTCTCAGTATGTGTATGCAACAGATGATGGATTCATGTGACATATTTACATAGTTCGCCTATTGTTATTCTATTTGTTTACTCATTGCATGGAAGACTTTTGGTTCTGGTTGCCAGTAGTAATCATCATTTTACACCCAAATTATTGGATAATGATGATCATAAAAGGAAAGAAATTTAGGCTGGTTATTTTCTCTCTCTGTAAAAACACCATAATTATTTGTAGAAGAAATTTCGTTTTATGATTATGATATAGGCATATTGTTGAAGTAAGGTGATTGTTGTTACTTATATATTTTGTCCAATTGTACATTGAGTACTCTAGTGATTATCACATATATACAACGTGGGCTATTTTTATCAATATAGCTATCCGGTTACTTCCCTATCTAGCTTTTAGCCGTTGTCCACAAATCACTGTGATTATCAGTTACGTTTGATGGTCTACGTGGGGTTTCTCACAGGCCTTCACTTTGTTACGTGTGTCAATATTTATCAACATTGCAGTACACGACAACTCAGAATATTATTGTAGTCACGAACCGATCTGAGTTAAACAACCATTGAAAACCTGTATGTACTAGACAGCCGATTTGTCTAAGTATAGGACTCAGCAGTGCTTTTCTGAGGTTTTGCGACTGGGATTCGAACGCATGGCTTGCCCCGTTCACGAACTTTCAACTTCTAAACCACTGAGTTGTGGTCCAATCATGCACAGTTCTAACTTCAGTCTATCCACAATATTACACAACCACCCTCTAATGTTTTCTCTGGTTACTTCCCTCATACGCGACACTATTGAACTCCACTTGTTACAGCTTCTCACTAGGACTCGGGAGCTTTCCTCTAGAAGATAGTCACTAGTACGCATGTGATAATTATCGGTATGGGGTTTGTGATTTCAATAAAACTCTGTCTCCATAACCTCATGCTGTCAGTTAGGATAGCTGAAGGAGTAGGTAACAACTATAGTTCACTTGGACGTTCATCATTCAACGTTTATGACGTCTCTAAATATTTTTCTGACGAGACATATTATTGATTTCACACCTACCTCATTGACAGGAGACTTTTTGCTTCAGTCGTGTTTCGTTTGAATTGGGAGATTTTTCAGTTGCAGTGTTTTTATTCTTATATCAGTGGTGCGCATTATGACCAGTGAGATGTTAAAAGGAGTCCACTAAAAATCAGTACCTATAATAAGTGGCATATTTTTCCATTCTGTATACTGTAATTGAAGTGGGTGCTCATCTATGATTTCCTATCAGTTGATCGCTAATATTAACTGTTTGTCCATTTTTTCGGTATATTTTCTTTTATTGCCAAGTAGAGTTTATTTGATAGCATTGTTTTGTCTAGAATGTCGGCTTCGCTGATCTTTAAAATTTTGGGGATGAGTTTTATGTACACTTTACTGTAATTAGAATCCAGATATGTACTTCAAGACAATCAGTAATGCTGTGCATATTTATACTAACAGCTACTAATTATTTTATTTGCGTTCATCTTGTGTTGAGATTTTTGGAAGTATATCAGTTAGAGCATTACTAGTGATTTTACTGGAATCCGGTTGCAATTTGAACAAACTTATGTCAGACACAATCCCTGTTATCTTTAATTTCTGTCAAAAAATCTACACTTTTCCTCAAAAACAAATTTCTTGTGTGCAACTCTTTACTTAAATCCAGGCGACACTTTGAAATAAGTATTTTGTATCCAACATTTGCGACCATCTTTCTGTTCAGTTTGTGGATGATTTTTGTATATTCGAGTAGTTATCTCCACTAAAGATTTTATTTCAATTGTTTGAAATTATTTGCATTTGTCTGCTATGAACACGTTAACGTGTAACGCAACTTCAGGTAAGGTAAGGTCCTAGATGAAAAATACAAATCAGTAAAGTATGATATAGGAATGGGCTTAAACAGACCACGACGGATTTTCAGCTAGTTGTTTAGCTAATTAGAAAGCAACTTTTATAAATAAGATAGTTTCTGGAAAAGAAAGTCGTAATATTGCAAAGTTTAAATCGGTTTCACTTTCTAAATAATTCTATTAAAGTTCTTTACAGGTTACTCTGCATACGGATTGAAGAAACGATGATATAAATCTGTCTTTATGGATATAAAGTGTTCATCTTCTCGAACCTTTATAAGTACCTAAATAGATTTGCAAGAGTCTCGATATTATTCTTAATGAGGATTAGGGTAAGGAGTTAACAGTTGGGGTTTTCATCACTAACTGACAACAGCTATCATTCGAAAATGCCGTATGGATGAATGAATTTTGCTTAAAAATCCCTGAAGCGCTATTTTAGTTCGTTTATTAGATGAAGTGCCACCATGTTTAGGTTTGGGGTTACTATTTAAAAATGGTGTCAATGTTTGCCTGTTGTAAACAATATATAAAAAAAATTTAAACCTTTGGTACATTAAAAACTATCGATTTTACTTTATGGTTGCAAAAATTAATTTACCGCTATGACGTTTAACATTTTGAGGATTGTATAAATACATTTCTACTGCTCATCATATATGATATTTGAATTTCTCACAAAAAGCTGACAGTTTTTTCTATCCTGATTACCTTTTCCCTATATACCATACTTTTACCCCCACATCTAGTGGAAGTTGGAGGTTGAACTAAAATCTGTAATAAAAGTTATATTCTGATATACAGCACTCACCCACTAAATGAAAATAAATATGACTGAAAATGCTGGATACACCATGTACTTATTGAACGTTTGAAATGTCGTGGATAACATCAATCGTGTTATGGTATCATTGTGGTTTCATTTGAAGATGTGGGTTTTTATGGTTTAATTTTCAAGCGTCAAATACGGAACTACATTTTATCGAAGTTTTACTTAAAATCTATTTAGATATCGGTTGGAACTTTTTTCAAGTGACTGTCAAGCTCTTTTTCATAACATATTCTTTCATAATTCATTAATATTTTCATACCTTTTTCTTTTCTGTTCAAACACTTTTTTAGTCACGCTCTTCGCGAGAACATATTCAAGAATCAGAAACGTTACGTGCTCGGATTATTTCTTTAGAAAGTGAATGTTCCGAATTACGTGTTCAGTCAGCTCGTATCAAAGCAGACAACCAAACGTATATTATTGTAGGTTGATGGAATATCTTTATTGATTTAAGTTAATATTTATGTACTGTAAAGATTATGATATTTCTTTGGTAGCGATCTTTAAATGACGAATTTGTTTGAGTGCTAACTAGTTATATCATAACGTACCCTGGATTATTATCATCACTACTTGTGTATGTGAGAGCTGGGACACTACTCGGACGTTTAAACTGAGGTGGATGGTTCTCGAAGAACTATTAACGCTACAATGTCAAGAGACTGCCATCTTTACCAATTATATCCATACGTTATTCACTTGTAGAATTCTCTACTCATTGTGTATCATTAGTTTAAACTCGGGTTTTCTAAAATCTTAGGTAAACGATCTACATTCGTACCAGATATCCTGTATGATCTTGTATGATCTTGACCTGTATGGATAATATTATACATGGTGATTTTTCCCTTTCCCTTCATTATTCCGTCCATAATATGAGTAAGCACATTTTACATTTAGACTTGTCAGTAACAATGCATGTGATTCATGTAGGCTCTCTTTGTTCTCAAAACATTTGAATGGGATATTTCTCTATGCTTCATGCTCATTATGATCAGTGGTTAGCTGCATTCTACATACAGGGATATTGCAATCGGACTGACTTTGATGTACTGAAACAACGTTTACCTTTTTGTATGTGACACTCAATTTGTCCAAATAAACAAAATAAATATCATCAGATACGTTAAGTATTTTTAGATAACTGTAAGAAACACTGAAATTTATTAACTACTCATCATAAAGTTTTCCAAAACACTGGGTGGTTTGTGCAAATTGATCGTATTTAAAATTTTTGGAGAAGTGAAATTGGCACACTTCTTATCTTCATTTGACCTCAGCTTCCTGAGGTAAGCATGAACCTTTGACCGAGTACCTGGTTCAGAGACTTTCATCTCAAACAAATCTTCATTTCTACCACTACAAGCATTGAGCATTACCCCGAATGTCGAACTGTCAGACTTTGGGACTAAATTAAAATTTTCCGATTGTGTGAACGATATCACTCTTGGGCATTCTGGTTTCGGGACTGTTTCGTGAACGTTTGTTGTCTCAATTGATTCATCATAACATTAGGTAGGGATTCTACGTGATATATTTGAAGTGTGAGAGCACTCACCATCTGCTACAATAATATCTGGAATTTGATCAGGATATGACTCTTTTCGAACATATTTCTCACATTGATTAGGAGTGAATGGATTGTGAGAATAAACATCATACCATCGGAACGATAGTTAAATTTGGACCCATTGAGAACTTATGCTTCATACTGACCAAGGTTTTCACTACAAACAGATACATTGTGAGAATAAGCAACATCTGATATGATATCACCTTTTCCTCAATCACAAAACTGTTCTTTATTGCTGCAGGAAATATATCAGTTACCTCGTTTAACGTATCTATAATTTTTGATTGCGATTCCGGATTCGATTGTCTGAGAATATGTTCCTTCAATGCATCGGTGAGCATTAAATGAGATCTAATTAACACATCTTCATTAAACTGTAGCATTGATTTTACTTCTGAAATTAACATGTTCTTACACTAGTAACTGCTTCGTTTGTTGTAGTAGCGACTTGATAAAAGAAAGCAGAAGTATATTTATAACTGAAAAAAACAGGTTTAGGGGTAGGTTGAACTGACAGCGGAGTTATAACTGGGACCACATAGTTATGTTGAAAAACTGAAACTGGTAAATTGATCCCGTTGACAGTTGTTATGGCTTTCTTTATTCCACAATCCCCATCACCATTTGTTATGCCAGTGTTGCTTATTCTTATGCTCGGAAGGACAAGGATCTACTTTATAACCCTTTAAAAAAGCATTGTAGACTAAATCTGAGTCTTTAAATCTTAACTAAATCTATATACTACAACATCTACGAAAAGACGAATAGTTTGTAAATAGAGTGAGTGAATTATTGACTTGGATTGTGGCTGGCTGTAGGATCTTTGACGCGTTTCGTCTTATTTAAAATTCTTCATACCCATTGAACTAGTTAATAGGTATCTGAACTTAGTAGCTTAATGAATAACATGTTAACATTCAAGTCTCTGTGTGAACAATAACAGTAGGATAATTTCATCCTACCGACAAGTTTCAACTAGAACAAAGGTCATATTCTAGACTTCACTGCTAGCCATGATACAAATAAGCTAAAACCTTGTAACAGAAGACAATATCGAGACGATCCGTTCAGATTAGGCACATATTGTAGAAGTCGGCTAACTGCAGCCAAAAACGGGAAAAATTACAAATCTTTACAAATAGTATAGTTAGCTGCTTACAAACACTCTTCAGTCAAACAAAAGGCGTGTGAGAGAATAATTGTCGAAAGACGTTCGTATATCTTTGTAGATAAAGTCCAAAAACAATGAGTGGTTACGATAACCTTAAATCCATTTGTTTTCTTTTAGGCAATCTGTTTTTGATTGGTGTAAATGTGCGCTTATGTGTGTCCTTCTATTGTTCCTCAGGTTATTGTTTCTAACACATTTAAATATAAAGAACATGAATATTATCCAAACAAATTGTTTCAGTATGCAGGAGTTTGTGGAGATTGTTTTCATTTTACATCATGAATTAATTTTAGTGAGACAATTACTAGAAACCATAAAGTACCGGGAAGTTGTTTCGTCTTATTATGGGATTCCCCACATTGAGTATTCACAATATCACCGTGGGTCGAATCCGGGAATTCTAGGTCTGTTGGAACGGCTTTTGAGAAGCACAACGGAGCCGAAGAGTCCCCACTCAATCAAAATCTGATGAAGCTTTCTAGAATGTCAGCGCAGCATACTGCGATTGGACGGTAGCATAACTTTCCTTCTTGGGGTTTGACTGAATTATAATGATGTTATAGCCAAAACCAATAACTATACATGCACATGTTTTTCTGTACATTTTTGATTCTTACCCAACAATTACTTCTGTCTTCTGATTTTGCGACTGTGAGGTTCTATACGTTCAAGTGCCGCTAGTTTTATATCGTATTCTACCGTAACCAAGTAGAGAACGTAACAAAGTCTCACGGCGAGCAAATAACCTTCTGATCACTGAATTTAGATTTAAAGATTTACATTCTTAAATTCAAGTTGTTTCGTTTAAAAATATTAAATGTTTCCACTTAGGCAAGCCTTTTAACCCTCATGGAACATAGGCCACTGAACTAATGTTCACAGAGTCTAGTAAAATTAAGATGCCTTATGGTTTTATCTTTGCTGAAAAAGAAATATGTCCTAAAAGTTGTTTCTGTGGGTTGGTCAGATATATATATATATATATATATATATATATATATATATATATATAAATCAAGAATCAGTTTAAGTCAAATAACCATTGAAAACATCGAATTACTGGATGACCGTTTCGTTCAACCACAGGACTTCAGCAGTGCACATCCATGAATTCACAACCGAGGATCGAGGCCAGAACCTTCAGTCTCGCGCGCAAACGCTCTAACTCTAGATCACTGAGCCGGGATCCAATGGTGTACAGTTCTAAATTAAGTCAATCCATGATACCTTTCTCACACCCGCTTTATTCGTCTTTGTATTCCTGTCGAAAGTTTATTTCTTCTGTTCACCTCTGACCGCATATGTGGTTGACATTTACTGTATAGGATCGTAAATAGGGTCTGTGTTGATATTTCTATTGATAACTAAAAATTTACCTGAATACCCATGCTTACAGAAAATCCTCTGGGATTCTTTTTATTTCGTTGTCTCATGATTTTGATGTTCATCTCTTGATTGAATTTATGTCCGTGAATGCTAACATACATTGATATAAGTGAACATTTCATGTCGTTTTTATTTCCAGTTTATATTCATATATGAAAACACACACAATTTCGATGCATATCTGCTTATATTTTTACTTATAAGTTTTATAACTTTTTGTCTTACTTATTTCTACTCTAAAAATATCCATCTCGCCATGATGTTTAGGATCTTCGAAGAACCAATGAACAATTAACTGAATCACAAGAACAAGCACGTAGTTTTCAAGAAGAATTAAAATCACTAACGACTAAACATACTAGAGAAATGGAAGTTCTTCGAAAAGATCGTGATCATGCGGTACATGTAAGTTGCTACTTACTTGGGTTTAATTAATACTTGATTGTTTTCGTTATGATTTCTGATAATAATTAAATAAATAAAGGATTATTTGAATGATAAATAAAAATAATATATTTGTAATATCCCAATGAGTAGAAAATCCAATTTTCTACTCATTGGGATATTACAAATATATTATTTTTATTTATAACAATCAACCCAATGCTCAATTTATTCGAAATTATCAAATCAAACCTTGGTAATGACACCTACAGATTATTTGAATGGTTTTTGTGAAGAATAATTTCTTAATTTTTGGGCTGTATTCGTCTGAACTTCGCCAGTCACAACTAATTACTTCAAGATGTTCCTCAATTTTTAGTGAGAAGTCATAACTGTAGTGGAGTTCGGATTTGTTAATAATAAAACGATTCTCACCTAGGACATCGGGAGATTGTGGTACCATATCACAAATCGATTAGTAAAACATGACTAATCCACCGAATTCGGTGTTTTAAGATGGTGATATCAATTGAATTGTTAGTTTGTCAGAATAAACACTATCAAACATCGGTATTGTCACCGGACATTAGCAATTCTTCTGAGAATTCGAATTTTGAGCACGGAGAATCATCAAATATCCGAGCTCGGGATGATTTCAAAGGATCGAACACAAGTGCTATCATGGGTACGTTATAAAACCGATGTTTACAGTTAAAGTAACCTCATGATTTCCTCAAAGGTTGTTCAGTTCAGCTGGAGGATTTATGGCTTTCAACATCCATTGCCGTTTCGCCAGTAGCACTTACATGACTACTCGGATACATAAATGTCTCTGCAGGTACAAGGTTCTGTCATCTTTTGAGCATTAGTTTGCGTTTCAGCAGTTCAAAGTGTTTGTCATATGTATGGTTATAAATTGGTTAGTCCCTTTTTAAAGATTGAGAGGATGATCACTTCATTTTGAGATTATAGAGTTTTGAATATATGTTTCAGACACGTACCTTGATATCAAATTTTTTCAAATACATAGTCTTATCTGTCTGTTGTTTTATCTGCATCAGTGTGCATACATTGAAAGAGGAAGGTTTAAATGGCACATGTTGATTCAACTTTATTGAGACCAACGAAGTCACTGTCAACAAAACCAGAGTGCACTAGCCAGCTGCTTTGTCCTAGTATAGTATTCTTCAACTGCTACACATCCATACAGCCTGTGATCGACTGGTAAAACTTTCAAGGTGTTTAACCAGTACAGTCACAAGATTGTCGTCAATTATTTACAAATCCACAACTTTAATCAAATCTTGATATAGCACAAAGTTCATTGTTAGGTACTCGTCGCACGAGTTCTAAAAGTCTTGAATTCGATGCACACCTAATTTTTAGGTGTGCTTCCTCTACTACAGTTATCCAATTGCTTTAAGTTCCCAATCATACACCAAATATAGTCAATCAGAGATAAATGTATCATACACTAATTGTATTAAGAAAAAATGCAATAATCATGTATTAGGGAAAATATGTAGTATTATGTACTTATATAAAAAAAGTTTTGTATTGTGATGTGAGTAATAAACAATCTTCACGGTTTATGTGCAACATAAAAAAACACATTAAGAATTGAAAACATGTAAATAGTCTATGTATATTGAGTTGTAGTGAATAAAAAGAACGTATTTATATTGTACGGATTGAATAGTGATAATAATAATTTTCAATAGTGAAAGGAAAAAAAATCATGTTCTGAATTTTCTAATTCATTTTTCTGTGGGAATTTTTGTTTTTTTTGTTAAAGTACTAAAAATGAGTGTAAGTACATGAGAAAACAATGATCTACTTAACTTATGCCTACCAGTAATTGGTATCAAGTTAGTAGTAGTAGTAGTGCTATATAACAATTGATATTGTTTTTTTCTTTTCTACAAGAATTATTAAACTTTTTTTAAAAACAACACACTAAAAGCTACATTTATGTGATGAAATTGTAGTTAGTTAATGGACTACTTGATGTTGTGTTCTCAGAGTTAAGTGGTTGAGTTGTAGAGATTTCGATAATCGTTCTGGACAATACAACCAGTGTTTACTTCATATAAAGTTTAGTTTATAATAATGGAAGCTATAGAGTTAAGCTAATCTGGTTCAAAAATGCAATATCACGAATAAATCCACTTGTACTGGAAGTCTTCTCCATTATTTCACAATAAATCATATACTATTAAAACCCAACTCTACATATAATTCTTTCGTTCTGATAGTGGGGATTTCAACTAATTCACTTAATAATCTTGTCGTTTAATTTATTTCATTCAGAAGTTTTTTGTGGGGGTGAGATTAGATGAAGGTTGTTACTGGTTCCAGAAATCTACACATACGTGGATGTATTATGACTAGATTGTACTCAATTTGTAATTGGTCCCACTGAACCTCAGGTAAAAGAAAATGCGATAATATGCATAAAGATGTGGTTAAGTCGAAAAATACCTAAATATTATTCCTATTTGTGTATTAGTTTCTTTTTAAAATATATCTATGAATTATGTTCAGTCACCTTAATTTATAGCTTCTTTTTATAGGAGTATTTGGGATACACTGTTGAGAAGTATAACACTATTACCTTTTTTTATGGCTTCTGATATTTTCAGAAATACAACATACTTCTAAGCTCATATACTTCACTTTTTCTTATATTTGTGAATAAGTAGTAATAATATTGCTTTGTGTATATTTGGTTTGTTTTTTCCAGTTAATCGCTGATACTGATGCTTTTCTTCTATTAGTTGATCGTATAAGATGCATTTAACACATCTTACATTTGTTTATAATTCTGAAACTGCTTTCATTTCGCTTTAGTTGTATCTCATTGATTCTGTTTACAATTTTCGAAATTTTACTGAGATAACAAAATGACCTAAATTAGACCACCACTGAAAATCATGGAGGACTGACTGGACAGCTGTTGAATGCTTGCTTAGCGGTCTAATGGTTAAATGGTTAGTGCGATACCTGAAGGTCCTAGGTTTGATCATTGGTAAGATTGTGGATGCACATGTTAAGATGGAATAGATGTTCAGTACTCCCTGGTATTTACCGGTTGCCTAACTTAGGCTGGTTCGTGATCTTAGTATAATTTATTATTCCCTAAGATCCCCTATACAGATAATCTTCAAAATATATGTAATATTGGATAGCTGCCGCTCTATTTCGCAGATTAATAAAAGCTTAAGTCGTACCATTTGATGCCAGCCCGATAATTCTATGGGTTCTTTATTTTTAGCGAAACGTGACGGCTGAGTTCAACCACTGGTGGGTGCTAATTATGCACTGCTGTATAGTCTTGTACTAGTACGAAACAGGCTGCTTAATTCTTTGACGTTTTCAATGATACCCCTGTAAAACAATGTAATAGGCAGGAGGAATGCATAAATATTGCGAGAAGTATTTACTGAATACATACACAGTCTGTAATCGTCCATTTTAATCTTTCGATGTGGCCTCCAAATTTTCTGCCAATGCCATGCTTTCGATGCACTGAGTGTCTTCACTCCATCTGACAATTGCTGCAACTTTGATGGCACATTCCCGGTGCACACTACTTACAAACAACCTTGTGATTGGCATCCACCACACCCCAATTATGATCATTCTATTATGAATATGGGCTACAGATCAAAATTTACATTTACAAACGATAATTTATATACATGTGCTTCTGTTTATATTTAGGTATTAGAAGAGCTGAATGGTTCGATGGGTGGCAAACGAAGAAGTCGAGTCGGTTCAGGTTCGGGTACACTTACAGCAGCCGCAGCTAGCACTGGTTCAACTGAAGTGTTAGCACGTTATCAAGAGGTTCAAGAAATTGTTCGTCGACTAACTGCTGAAAATAAAATATTACGACAACAAGTGGAAGAAGCTCAAGAAGAGTTACTTACACAATCACTTCAACAAGGTCAAAGCTTAATACGTTCATCAGAGAAAAGTTGGGCTTCTGAAATAGATAATTGTACTAAAGAAGAGGTATGGTTCTAATTAATTTTTTATTGTATTTGAATTTATACGTATATATAAACCTATTTTACTCATATGTAAAAGTTCAGTGTGGCTATAAATGGAATCGTGGAGTTTGAACGTCAACACTGGGATACAGGTACATTCAGTTGACGAGGTCGAAATTAGACGAAACGCACTTTCTGAATTCTACTACTAGTCACTATCCAACTATGCCCCCAAAATGCTTGTGACTAGTCCGACCAGGATCTGCATATACTAAAAGAAAGTGATCAGTTGCAGTCCTTAACTCAGACAACTAAATTTTAACCAAACTTTTTCTGAAAGAAACTAATTTATCTAATTCAATCTTATGTACTCAGTTTTGAACAACATTTGTTTATATGATGGTTGGTAAAGTATGTGGTGTGCGTATTTGTGTGTATGGGAGTCGAAACTAAAACCTGTGAGTTGAAAATCATATATTTTTTTAAACCACTCATCTGTTGTTTCACATAGCGTAATATAATATTACTCATTTCTAGAGAATACTTTACTCTTTGTTACTATCAATTTTGTAATCAATCAATTTATGCTTATTTACAGTCAATTAAGTTTAAAATAAATGCATAATATTTGTGACCGGATAAAGTCAAATACTATCTATCTATAATAACTCCTGTCATCATTCACTTCTATCAGATTATATCATATAGTGCGATCAACTTACAGATCAATCGACAGTAGATAGTGTGCTTAATAAATTAAATCAAATTAACCTCTTATGGAACCGGGATATTTACAGTCGTAAGCTTTTATGCTATCTCGTTATTTTCATAACTGAACTGAATAGTTGAAAAAATGATTCAATATTAATTGTCTTCGGATATTGGTTATGTTACGAATCAATGTGTTAGTGGATACCGTCATATCTCACAAGTACTAAGCAAAATGAAACTTGTGCTTTTATCGCACACTAACGTTGAATTCTGAAGATCATTTTACTTGACTATCGCGTTGGTCTTAATTTATATCTCAATGAATTCCACACACTGATATTATTGCATCATAAAAAAACACTTCCAAATTGTGTAATACCTCCCATGAGCTACATTGCTGGAATGTATGACGTTTATTTTGTGCCGTTATAATATTTATTGGCGACGTTACGCTAATTGTACAATGTCTTCGGTGATTATCGTTTCCTTCGTTATTATATCATATATATATATATATATATATATATATATATATATATATATATATATAAGTATAGTGCAACAATACACTTCATTGATCAGAATGATGTGTACATATTGATCATGTGATGCTTGATTTGTGTGCTTCTACATGATCTTACACACATATGCATGTATATATGTATGTAAGAGAAGAGCATTGTATCTTGTGTGTTATGAAATCATCTCTTTATTAGTTAAACAAAGCATAGTAAAATAGTTTCAATAATTAATGTGTTGATGCCATTTCACTGTTACTGTTCAACTTATTATCTTTTGTAACGAATAAGATGATGATGGTAAACAAGGAGAAAAAATCAATAAAGTTTTGCTTGTTAAAGTCTTTGCTCTTCATATATATATATATATATATATATATATATATATATATATATATATATATATATATATTCAGTTCACTGTCATAACTTGTTAATTTACGTATTGTACCCATGGCATTATCAGCTAAGGTTTTTAAAAAAATGGAATTTTACCTAAATTGTTGTCTGGTCAGTCAACTGATAATGATCTCGTGTTCAAAGGCATAAATCACTGAATGATAATCAATGCATATACTTTTTGTTACTAGGTTCTAGGAGATGGTCTTGAATCTTTCAAGGTCCTCTGAACATATACTAGCTGTGTTCAACCATCTACCTTAATTTGCTATTACTAACCAGCTTTATCATTTGGATTACTAATAAACTAATGGAATGGTGACTTATTAGTTAAGTCATTCGACTTTCAGTCGTCTCAGGTTAGAGCCACGCTTCACCTTCTTCGGTTAGATCAATTAGCTAGTATCATTAGCTGTTACAGTCAGGGTGTTTCACACTCAGCTATCCAATGGATGTGTTAGTTTAATTTTTAAGTAGAGCAGTAGCTAAGATGTTAAAAATCTGACTTCTAAACAATAGGTCTGTACCTCTTACTCCAATCACCTTGGCCAGAACACTTGAATAATATCAGTTTAGAAAATTGTATCTCAAATTTAAGTAGACAAAAGTGTGTATATTTACTACTGTTTAGTGTAGGATCCTGTTGGAAAATGGGTCACAGTCTGTTTGATTGAACTATTTATTTGTGCCGTATTAGTTTATTACAAATTTGTAGTTAGTGCCTCCAAAATAAATCAAAGTATTATTTTAGGAGGTATTATTTATGAGAAAAAATAATGACAAAACACAGTATAACGTTTTAAATCTAATTAACTAGTGTGCAATTTCAATCTACAAAATAGTTAATTATTGTATCCTTATTTCATATTATTATGCTCAATCCAATAAATGTTAGTGTACTAGTAGTTTTTAATATTGTTTTCTACGGACCATTCGGGTTTTATCCGCATTGCGTTTTGTCGATAAATCATGTGTTGTTAGTATTGTGACTGAATATACTCATTCTAAACTACATTTTCAGTGGAAGAATCTTCAGTGAATCAACGTAGCAACTAACAAATGAGTCCACTGCGTCTGGATTCTATTGTGTATGTACTTTGTGCAAGACATTTAACTTACAGTTAAAGCGACATGAATACTCGTAAATAAAACTGACGCTAATAAATATGTGGGTTTAAAATATACTACAAGTTTACAATATTAATGTTGATCACTGTCCAGTAATTCTAATCTGAGATAAATGTAAATTAGGTCAGACACTTTTATACAACTTTAAAAGATGTTATATAATGGATTAAATCCTCGACACAATGAGTAGTCCAACCTCAATCCTGATATCAATAGGTAGGTCTTTGACAAATCATTAGGTTTTTTTATCGGTATGTTAATGATAACATGACTTTGTAGCAGTTGACACTTGTGGAGGCTATGGTTCGTTTACTGGTAAAAACCATTCAGCTCTCGACCTGTATGTCATAAATTTAAACTAATACTCGTGTACTTAAGTTTCGGACTATCAGGTAGCAACAGTAGTGTAACTTCAAACTGAGCACAGAAATCTTTACTTGACAAATAAGTTGGCATAGGATACTTCATTCTTTCAAGTGGTTGAAAGTAGCCGTCAAAAAACTCTGGACCTAGGTCTCTGTACTCATCGGCGCTCGTTAGAGTAGTGTGTCTAATTGTTGAGTCGGCTTTCCGAGAACTGCAACGGAGCCTCCAGAGGCCCTAAAGGAGCCGAAGAGTCCTAGCCAATCAGAGCATGATGGAGCTTTCTAGAATATCAACGTAGCGTGCTACTATTGATCAGTAGCATAATATGCCTTTTAGCGGATTGGTCAAAATATGATGCTGATTTAATAAATGTTAACATAAATACCCGTGTTTTTCTGTACGAAAATGAACCTTTGTAGTAAAGTGTTTTTCGTTTATTTTGCGCCTTTTCTCTCGAGTTCAGGTCGCTGCGTAGTTCTAGCTTGCGGATTACGAGAATAGCTTAGGAACCGAATAAAGCGTTCAAATTAACAAGATTTATCAATACTATCTTGATTAAGCTGGTACTCCATGATGTAGTTGGAATTGTGTCACTCAGTTTCACAATCCAAAACGTTTTTATTGAATCTATTTGGGCCTCGATTTACCTATAGGATTGAGGTGTATTCACAATTAATTTATCACTAATCATGATCCACGAGCTCTGTATATATATATATCCCATGGAAACTTGATGCAGCAGTAGGAAGGCCTATGAAAAACAACTAATGTCTTCAACAATTTCCCTGTTGTTTACAATCTACCTACGTGTGTTGATCTGTAAATATTTATTTATTATCATTAATTATTGTAGGTTGTCGAATTATTATCCAAAGAGAAATATGCAAATGAACAATTGCGTAAATATATTGACGATTTAATTACACGAATTATTGAACGACATCCATCACTGTTGGAGATCGCAAGTGGAGGGGGTGGATCATAGATTAATGCTGTCTATGAGTGCTTGCCGGTCCATCTGTATGTATCTATTATGACCGATCATTTCAATTACGCAACTAACTAACTGATTTGCTTATTACTTGGATAAAACTATACATATACAACTTTGTAAAAGAGATATTTTCTATATACTTACATATATATATATATATATATATATATATATATATATATATATAAATTTTATTTTCAATAGACTATTAATAACACCGAAAATACATATCATCAAATGTTTTTTTCTATCATGAACAAAGCATACTGATAACAAGTACATAACCATATATATTGTGAAGGAAGTGTTTTTATATTTCCTTGTTCATTCGATTGTGAAACTCCTTTGTCTTTCGTGTTTCTCATTTTGTTATTATTATTTTCGTTGAACTATTTGTCATGTATGTTCTGTTTTTTTTTGAAAAATGAAATCATCATTATTATTATGTCAAGCGTAACTAGAACATATTGACAGTTAATTGCACATATTATCATTAATATTCCTACTAATAAGCTGTTATTAGATTGTTGAATATGTTTTCACCAAGTGTGAAATGAAATCTAGTGATGCAAGCACCATAAAATTGCTTGTTCATTCTTACGTTTTATGCAAGATTAACACATAAATATTATCAGGATAATGTAAACATTCTGTGATCATTTAAAGTGTTTATGATTTTTTAATTTTTTTTCTCTGTACTACTACTACTACTATTACTGTGTTTCATTGTTATATGACTTTGCTCAACCATCAATACTACTGTTAATAAAATAAAGTTGGTCGCTTTCTTGGGATTATTATTGCTCAAAAACAAATAATTTATTTCATTCCCATGTCTTTGTTTTGCTGAAACCTAATTGATTTGATGTAACGTGATCGTATTTCATTCGACCATCTATAATTTCTAGTCTTGTTTCCTGCGTGACATTTTGTGTGACGATTGTAGGAGAGTGAGAGAAGGGTACTTCATTTCTTATGTTCATGGAATTATAGAAAATATGTTTTTTTTGCTTTTCTGATTTTGGGATCACCATTCATTAACATACTACTACCAATACTATTAATACTATGCCTTTTTTCATGAAAACTTCCATTTATAGTTGGACTTATTACGATGATGAAATCATACTTAGTCCTTTGCCAATTTTACTTTTGTACTATTCTTATTTATTTCTTGTTGGTATCGATTTTCTTACCTTCATAGTCATACATAGCCATGGAAATGCTTCAAAAGTAATCTGTTAACTAAATCCTTGTTTTTTTTATTTAAAAAAATGATATAATATATGTACACATATATCATAGCTTATTTTTGCTCTGCCTTTGCCTTCCTCTTTTTATATTCATTTAATCTAACTGGAATGTTGTCTCTCGTCTGTTTCCTTGATAAATTCGATGCTTTTGTAGTTTACTTACTGACTTTTATGTTTTTTTTCAATATTATTCAATTTTAAGCATACATACTTTGTAAAGAACTAGTGATTAGTTGCTTGTTTTTCATCGGTTGTCCGTTTTTTTAGATCCAGTTTATTTAGGTATGCTGATATGAACAGTAAAAGTAAGCATCAAATTAATGCTCTATAATCTTTCTAAACATTATTAAAGACCTATATACATCAGATTAGAACAGCTGACGGACGGATTTGTGTCACGTTCATTACCCAAAATACACATTTCCGATTTTTTTTTGTTTTGATAAATATCAGCATCAACTCAATGTTTACTATTATTAGTAGTAATATCTGCTGTTATGTAGCATATAAACATAAGAACTACTCTATTGTGTATTGTTATTATTGTTAGTTCTTTTACAAACATATTCATCGTTCTTTTACAAACATATTCATCATTCTTTTGTATAGATAACTATTTGTTTGTGACGTTTTTTCATTACCGGATTTACTACTACTATTGTAGTGACGATCATGTTGATCACGAGGTTGTAAACACCAGTTTAAATTGTTTACTTTTCATCGAATTGGCAAAATACTCAATATTTTCATTCGATCGGTCTAATATTTTTTCGTTATTAATCTTTTCCCCACCTTTGTTGACAAATGTTCTATTTTTTTTAAAATAATAGATTCACATATAAACAAACAAATATATATGGTTTATTATTAAATATATGTTTAATTGTTGATTACATGATATTTTTAGTGGAGATTGATAGTTTATGTGTTGTAGAATTAATTTTAGAATCAACCAGATTACAGCACAAATGTCCCAGCTTTTAAAGTGAGACTCATCAGCACTCAATATTACAGTTCACTGTTTTACATTTCTTAATCTGTGAACAAAATATATGCACGCGATTTCAAGTCGAATAGTTTAATAACACCAATCCGACTGAAAGGTCAAGTACACAAACTTCGTTCTAGTGAATTGAGTTCCACTAAAAATACACAATAAATTGTAGTTAGGTGTGTCTAATTCGTAGCACTATTTTCCCATCTGAATGGCTCATTTATTGGAAAAAAGATGTTAAAATGTACTAATTACTCATTGTTCACTTGTAATAATTGAATAGAATTGCATGAAATTATATTGAAGATTACATAGTTTGTGTAATTAGTGTACTAAAGGGTTGTGGAGATGGTTGGATTTCATTTAAATTATGAATCGACATATGTTACACTGCTACTAGGAACCCGAAACCACTGGACGCCCATTTCTTCGTGGTATTTGACTAGGAAGTGTGCATCTACGATCCCGCAAGCGGGAATAGAACCCATGAGCTTCGGTCCCTTGCACAAACACCCAACCTCTACACCCACCAAATACAATGGGTTTTGTCTCAGTGGTTTCTGTTGCCAGATCCTTCAAAAGGTGACAAAGACTACATACATTGTTGAAAGCCCTCAGGAATTCTTCGATAATATCTTCATTAACTGAGAAAAGGCTGAAAAGATTTCATCCAATCATCTTCAAATAGACTTTCCAGAATTACTTAGAAGATTATTTATTTAATTATTTGAACACATATATATTGGTAAAGGAGTGCGCCGAATATATATGCGCCACACAAAATAATGAGAATCTAAGAAAAAAAAGTGAAGAACGCCAAAAAGAAATGATAATAATAATTAAAAAAACAACGAAGAGATTGGTGTACGGTAGTGTAATAATAATAATAGCAATAGTAGGGGGACAGAAGGGTACAATCAGAAGAAATCTTTCAGTTAAGGAAGATACAACCATTTTTTATGAAGAAAGTAAAAGAAGGTTACAGAAGGATCACCACTAGCTTCTATTATGAGCCATATCTGATAACGTCTAAAGCTACTGTGTTGCATCATCTCTCGGACCCCAGGAAGAGGGTCGTGAAGGGCCAACAGAAGTCAGCTCTTTGCAGCTTTCTTTCATACCACGACACAATGTCATACACTGACCACCTCTCCGCTTTTTACAGTCAGTTCTAGAGTCGGCAAATAATGCACGACGTGGGATTCTCTGGGACGACATTCATAGAACATGTCCAAGCCACCGAAGTCGGTGTTTCATGATGATGACACCAATCGCATTATCGTCTCTGTGCCCGAACACACGATGCCGAACCTCTGCATTACTAACATGGTGTTGATACTGGATGTCAGCAATCCTTCGGATACAACGATGATCAAACACAGAGAGTCGTCTAACCTCCTCAACTCGGAGAGGCCAGGTTTCACAAGCATAGAGTAAAACGGCTCTCACCGACGCGTTGTAAATCCGATCTTTTACAGCCAGACTAACATCACGAAGGCGCCAAAATGTACCGGATTAGCATGAATTGCCCTGGCTTTCACTATACGTGAATTGATCTCATCACTCACGCCACCACCAGCACTTATGCAGCTACATAGATACACGAACTTCTCCACTACTTCTATCTGCACACCATCCAGGGTGAGTACAGGATTAGAATCCTGCCAGTCTTGTAGAAGTACTTTGCAATTCGAAGGTTCAAAGCACATGCCATACCTATGGACACTGATTGCCAACTGATTAAGTGCGGATCGCATGGCTTGGTCATTATCGCATACTCAAGGTCGAAGAGTATTTCTCCAGGCAGCAGATCCACACTACCATTATTTACATCCATCAGAGCTGTTTCCAGAATGTAATCGATGGAAAAGTCGAAGAGGAACGATGAGATCGGGTGACCCTGTCTAACCCCACTGCTTGAATGGAACAATGGAGAAAGGTGGTTGTATGCTTTCACTAAACCTGAAGTGTTTTAAGATGTTAATAAACTTCTCAGGCACACCCTTCTTCAATAGACAATCCCAGAGAACAGTCCTATCCAACGAATCGAAGGCAGCCCTGATATCAAGAAACACTACGATTGTTGGCCTTTGATAAGTATGGCGGTGTTCCAACATTTGGCGGAGGGTGAATATATGATCAATACATCCTCGACCAGAACGAAACCCAGCCTGCTCCTCGTGAGTCAATCTTTCTCGGGTTTAGTACAACCTACGAAGTATGACGGAAGCCAGTAGCTTGGACGCAATCGGAAGTAGACTTACCCCCAATAGTTGTTACAGGAACGACGTGAACTCTTTTTAAAGATAGGGACAAATACCGACTCATTCCATGATGTTGGTACACTCTCTAGTTCCCACACCTTTTTAAACAACGTCGTCAATTCCTTAGTCAAAAAGTCACCACCATCTTTAAAAAGAGCCGGAGGTAAGTCATCTGGGCCAGGTGATTTGTAGCGCTTCAAGAGTTGGAGTTCCCTGCGGACTTCCTCCTCGTTTGGTGGATCAGTCGTCACCGGCCATGGAGGGCAGGACTGTCTGACCTATGATGCCGGAGCAGCAGGCCAGTTGAATTGCTCTTCGAAGAATTCTGACCATCGTCCAAGACGTCGATGGATGTTAGCGATTGGCATCCCATTATCCTCACAGATTGTTTCGCTCACACCAAACTTCTTGCTGCCAGTGGCTCGGATGAGTTGGGAGAGCTTCCGATAATTACCAGATGCAGCTGCTGCCTCCAGCTCATTAGCACGCTCCGACCACCAGGCTTCTCGGTCCTTACGCAACCTTTGCCCAATTTCACTACATAACAACCTTCGTTTGTGGTCAAACTCACGGTCACCCGGAGTAGACCGACGAGCTGCAATGAGTTGTAAGGAACTAGAGGAAACCCAGTGCTTAAAAGCGGGACGTTTCGCAAA